CTCTAATAACTTCGGTGCTTATAGTCCGATCTTTGTGAAATTTTCAGGTCTTAAACAAGGCATACTAAAGGCTGTATATACCAAGACCCAAGGCTGGCAGTCCATAAACTGTGGCTGTTTGCGAGAGCTGAGACCCCTATGTAGGATAATAACTAATATACCCCGGCCTTGCCCGATCTATGAACAAACAAAAAGGTTTCCTACAAAAGTTGTTGATGTATGTCCAAAATTTCGCGTCTCTAGCCCTCATAGTTCTCGAAATCGAAGCGTTTATCGATTCGACAAAAAGCTGAATACTTCATGAAATGAAGAAAGCAAAATGCATTCTTCCGCCCTGTATGCCCGTTCAGCGCATTATCCACAAATACAGGGTATCCATGCAGAGTCTGTAACTTGCCAGCCGCTGATGGGCAAATTGTGCTGCATATCAAGATTGTGTTTCTTCTGCCGCTTCTTGGTAATTGTTCCCCGAGGCGCAGTTGAGGCCAACAATTCCAATTTGATTTTCAGTTCGTTACTTTTCATAATTTTCTTTTTCCAAAATATCCCACGCACTTTATCAATGCAAAGCTGGCTTGGGTTGGGGCAGTTCTGCTTCCGGTCCAAATTAAATTGGACCCGTGTCGTTTTATGTTTGACATGTTGCCCTCTAAAAAGAAAAAAAAGAAGCGAGAAAAAAAACCCTCAGAAAATTCTATTTAAATTGTCGAAATCCGCTTAGGTTGGGCCTTTGCCATTTTTGATCCCTGGACTCGAATTGGCTCGCAGCCGCTTTTGGCCACGTTTCGTGTCGAATTTCGAGCAGCTCGCAAATCGAATTGTTAAGCTTGGAATTTTTGTAGTCTTCCTCTTGCTAAGCCTAAAAGCTACTTAAATCGATGGAAAACTTAGGGCTCGCTTTTGAAGCTCTTTCAAGTAGGAGTTAAGTCAGGCATATACCCTGTAATATTGCCCACATTATGCTGAGGGAACTAAGTGTGAGAAAAATTGATTCCTTATTATTATCTTCTCTTAATAGCAGAAAGAGATGGATTATATACTTATAGAGGGTATCATAATTCTGTAACAAAAATTCTGTTATTCACAGAAGAAGAGTTTTCTGATCTTCTAACTATCCAACCATCTACCTAACTATGTGAACTAGCTCTGCTCTGATTCGATCTTGATAAAACTTTGTCAATATTCGTCTTGTTGCTGCAGGCAGTATCTATATCGGAATTGGCCGGATCTGGCCACTATATCATATAGCTGTCATAGGAACAATCGCTCGAAAAATAAACTCTTATATGAAAAACTTGTTTGCATTTCAAAATATCGGAACCAAATACTAGAAAAAACTAGTTTTAATATCCAGCAAACATATAAGAGAAGTCTTAGCATTATCGGACTACTACATCTTGTAGCTACCATACGAATGATTGATCTAAAATTAAGTTCTTGTTTTAAAAACTTTTTTGTTTATCAAGATATGTTGAAGAAACTCGACTTATATTAGTTCTACGATGCTCCTTATATATGATCCAAACCTTATCAATATGGACTACAGTATCACATAGCTGCCATAGGAAAGATCGGTCAAAAAGTAAGTTTTAAAAGGAACAACTTTTTTGTTTTTCAAGATATCTTGAAGAAATTTGACATTTTTTGGTTTCATCATGTTTCCTACATATAAGCCAAATCTCATCAGTATCGGACTACTATATCTTATAGTCACCAGAGTAACGAAAGGTCAAAGTTCCTGTAAAGAGAACTTTTCTTGCTTCAAGCTATGTGGACCCAACTCGGCATACTTTGGTTTAACTATTATTTATCTTATTATTTATACCAAAAATAATTATATATAAAAAGTATTTTCCAGAATCCAGCCTTGGAAAAGTTTTCGAACTATTTTTTTTGTTTATCTTTGTGTGGCGGATGTGGCCAGAAATTGTTCATATTCAATGGGTTTGCCAACAAAATCGATAATATGCAAATATTACAAGGGAGAACTAAGAGCTCACACACACGAGCACACACACACACACACACACACACACACACACATGGGCAAACACTCGTGTTGTATCTAAAGCAGCGCATAAATAAACAAACGCTTCAAGTCCTCAATCCCAATTCCTCCCACGCACACACACACACACACATAAAGAAAATAACTAAATACGCATTAGCATCCTGTCGGATTTGCCTTTATTATTGCTGCTGCGACGGCGACGACCCAACGACGCGTGCTAAGAAGAAGAAGCAGCAGCAGCAGCCGCAGTTGCACGCGCTTCGTGTGGCAAGCAGAGCTTAAGAGCCGCACAGTGGTGCAAGAGCGTTGAGCACTTAACGAAATTCAGTTTCTATTAGAGATTAACTAGATTAAAGATTTACTAGATGAAGGATTTACTTCGGCCTTGCTCGAGGCAAGCTTTGTGCTGAAGATTTCGCATAAAACTTACTTTTTTCGGCCAGGAAAAATTAAAAACTTTCCACATTGAACTTGAAAATATGCTTAAAGTGCATCGAATAAGGAGGTGCAAATCTTGTGGCCGAAAAATATACTTTCGTACATTAAACCTTTTCCATTCGGTGGATAGCATATCAAATACAGTTCCGGAAAGATCTCTCCAAAATAGGGTTCAGGCCAATTCCAATGAAAATAATAAAGTTGCAAATTGTTAGCCAAATTTCCACACTTGCGGGTGGATTTTCCATAAACCTTATTTAACCATAAAATATTTATATATTATTTTTCATAACACATTTCTTGCCTTCTGATTACGTTTATTCGGATATTAAAATTTTTAACATTCAACATTTCGCTTAGCTTAACAATTGACATTGAACCACGGTGCATGGGCAAAGTTTTAGTGCTCCAAATTGGGGGAAGGGGCAACAAATTTCAGCGAATGTATGCAGAGTGTGACCGAAAGCATTATTTATGGAGAATGTGGGCACACACAAACACACACAGACACACACACACACACACACACACACACACACACACACACACACATGCAAAGGATATAAAAGCAATAAGGACATTCATCTTCATAATTATGGGCTAGCGGAGAGTTTGTGGGGGAGAGAGAAAAAGTGGAGAAATTCAAATGCAAAGAGAAAGTTTTGCATACGTCTGTCGTCGAGTGTGTGTGCGAGTGTGTGTGTGCGAGTGTGTGTGTGTGTGTGTGTGTGTGCCAGCCAGCCCCTGGCTATGGGATTTTATGGAAATGACAGTTAAGCTCAGGCCAAACTGGACGCTGGTCACACTAATGAATGCCGTGCGTGCCTCTGTGTGTGTGTGTGTGTGTGTGTGTGTGTGTGTGTGTGTGTGTGCTTACCGGCGTCGAAATGCAATCAAATGGAAATTGTTAAAGAAAGCAAAAATGCGAAACGGGCAACGGGCAATGGGCCTGGCATTCCACACGCTCCGCTGCGTTCGAGCAGGGATGCGAATTGGTCGATGGCTAGGAGGTTGGGGAGGGGTAGGGGGTGCACTACGCCGGACTTTGCACTAATTACGCAGAAAACATGTCCGGCACGACGCGAGCCTGGAGGCAGACCTTGCTCTGTTTTCTTCTTTTTTTTTTTCGGCTAGCTTTTGGCCAAGATTTTTGCTTGGCTGCAATTTAAATGCGACTTTGTTGCGTGGCCCGTGGCCGGGGGGCGGGGGCGTTGTTCGGGGGGCGGCTGGCTGCAGCAGTTCAAAGGCCATTATTAGATGGGCTTAATTCTAATCCAAAACACGTTCCAATGTCCAGACGGTCGAGTGGTTCGAGCCTGACCAGCATTGGCCGAGGGGTTGGCCCGTCGATCATTAGCGTGATTTTTATATACCCAATCTTTGATTTGTTTTTGCAAATTGATATTTTTGCTTCAATTGAAGCTAGCTGGCAAATGTGTATATTTAAATTAATTAAATAACTTTAATTAATTGAATTTGCCTTGTGAGAAGCGCAAATAATGTTCAATTTTACAAATTTCTTTTAACTTAACGAAACTTAACGAAACTTTAAACGTCAACTGTCATTTTAAGCAGCGTTGAGTTCGTTGAGTTTGCTGAACGCTTGGGAACAGCTGCGCAACAGCTCTGCTTCGCGAACGACAGCTGCCTCACTTATCGATAGTTTCAATTTAAACAGCTATCGATAGGCTGCACAACAATTGCCGCCACATTGAAATCGTTTTGCGCTCAACTCTCAGAAAATTGAACAAATTTAAATGTGAAAATAATATAAAATTTGAGCTACAACAGAGAAAGTCAAAGGTATTTAAATAAAAGTGCTTAGCAGATATATTAAAGTCCAGTTGAAAATTATTTGAAACAATTGTTCGGCTTGCTGAAGTGAAATGCGAAAGCAAGCAATATTTGAGAAAAAAAAAAAGCAAAATAATAGGTTAATTTTAAAGGACAAACACAAAGAAAACTTGCCACACATCAAATGATTTATGTGCAATATTTATTAAATACCAAATACCAAATTTAGTGTTGGAAAACTTGGGAATTGCGGTCGCTGCCGCAACTCGGCCTTTTGATTGGCTGGCGCGCAGAAGTTCGACAATTTGGCAGTATCGCATTGCCGGCCACACTGTCGGACAGTCAGTGTTGCAACGTACCGAGGTAGCGACGTATCGTATATCGCCCGACCGCCACAAACTGTCGACCGTTCGGAGCCTGCCGTAAAAATTTCAAGGTGAAAAGTTTGTAATTGAAAATAGCAACAAATACCGCAAGCGCTAGCATAATAAGTAAATGGCAGGCAAAGTGTTGAGCGCAAAATGCAAAGCCAATTCGTACGCAAAACAACGCAGCACTCAGCGCCGAAACGTATCACAAAATAAAGAAAAAAAAATGTGTGTGTAAAGTGAGTGTGAGCGAGTGCATGTGTGCGTGTGTGTGTGTGTGTGCGTGTCTCTACATTCGTGCCAGTGTATGTGTGTGCGTGCAAATTGAATAAGAAACGAGCACGAAAAAGGAAAAAAGAAGAGAAAAAAAAAACGGCAGCAATGCAACATTTGCGCTGAAAATGTGAATTATTTACCAAACAACAAATACAAGTGCTAAACAGTTAACAAATATAAATCTATTAAGCGCAACTGTGTGTGCGTACGCGTTTGTGCTCTGTGTGCGTGTGTGTGTGTGTGTGTCGATCCGTGTTGCTGAACGCCGACGACTCTGTGTGTGCATGTACATGCATGTGCGTGTGTGTGTGTGTGTGTGTGTGCGCTTGAATATGTAGTGGAAGAAAAAAACGTAAAAAGTTTTATTTTTTTTTTTGTTGGCGACTTCGTCGCCGCTAAATTGTTGAATACCCCTTATTGTTGTTGCTACTGCCACGGGCAGTCCATGCTTAAAGTGGCTTCGACTTTTCTGCTCTTCTTTTTTTTATTGCAAAAAAAGAAAAAAAAACTTTTTTTTTTTCGCAAATCTGCCATGCACGAGCTTCGTTTACTTAATGCTCTCCCCCTCTATCGCACGCGCTGCTGCTGTCGCTGCTGCTGCTTCTGCCGTCGTTGTGTGCGGCGCTCTCACGCTCGCAGCGCTCTCGCAGTCGACGCGCTCTCTCTGTCGCTCTCTCTCGCTCACGTCAAATTTGTTCCTTTTGTCCGATTTTTTTTTTTTTTTTGTTGCTTTTTATTTTAGTTGCAAAACGAAAATTCAACATATTTCTTTTGTGGCGTTCAGTTTTCGTTATAATTTCATTGAATTTAAATGCAAAAAAAAAAGAAGCTCAAATTAACAACAAGAGTTGTAAGTTAAGTGCAGTTGCAGAATGCGACGCAACGTCGCAGTCGCCGTCAGCTGCACAGTGCAACAAATCGATGTGAAAAGCAGCAGAAACAATAAAGCAAACAATAACAATTGTGTGTGTGTGTGTGTGTTGAAAGTGATGGCAAAATAAATAATAATAAACAACAAGAAGTGTTGCAAAACTAACCAAAAAAATATGAATATTCAAATGCAAGTGCTTTCAGTGTGTGCGTCGCTGCCCTACGCCGACGTCGCAGTCGCAGTCGATGTCCGCCCATCCTTGCAGCTGTTCTTGTTGTTGCTGCTGCTGTTGTCGCAGCAGAATTAAATGCGTTGTTGTTGTTGTTATAATTTTCGTTCACTTTCGCTTCATTTTCGCTGCGTTTGTTGTTGTTGTTGGCAGTTTTTGCACTTTGTACCTATTCACATTGTTGTTGCTGTCTTACTCACGCACACACACACACACACACACACACACGCACGCACGCGAGTATAGATTTTTCCGATTGGGTGTTGTTGGTCTTATTGGAAAACAGCTGGCATAGCAATTTAGTCATTTTGTTTATAACTAAATCAGCTGTTTGCACTCTGTTTACACCCATTTCAACTCAATCTTTAACCAATGCAAAAAGCAAAAAAAAAACGAAAGAAGGGATTTGTGCAGCAAGTGGGACGACTCTGATTCCAATTAAGGTAATACGAGACGCCGCACCGATGACTAAATGTCCAGTTGGATAAGCCTACTACGGAATATTAGCCCCAACCCAACCCCTCTCATCTCTAACTGTGTGAGTGCATTGATTCAGACTATATACGTACATTTCTGTAGTGTATCTAGTATTCATTTATTTGTCACTCTCAAGCGGAAGTCTACAGCTTGCTTTGTAGGGTAATTCCAGTTGGATTCTGATTCGATTGAATATGCAGCATAGTACTTTTAACTATTCCAAAATCGAACTATATCCATTTCCCCATGTGCTTCTATTGGATATTCTATACAAATCAATAAAGTCGTTTAACTACAGAAATTCTTCTCGATCTTGGGCAAAAGAAATAATCAATTGGTTTCTTCATTTGTTGATTTCTTCTTCCTCAAATTATTTCCTATTCCCATTCCTCGAAATGTAAAACATTTCTTTGTCTCGCAACACTTTGATTTGAGGAGTCTTAGAGTCTTCCAAAAAAAAGTTGCAATTGCCTAAAAATAAATATATATTCCAAGAAATGATATATAAAAAAGTACGCGATTATATTAACCTATAATTCTTTAGATCTTGTAAAACTCAATTTCAGTTTGACTTCCTATTAAATTATGTTTACTTTTCCTGGCAAAATAACATCTAAATTCAATTTCAATTCTTATTAAAGAGTCTTTCCGTTTGTTAATTCTTATTAGATTTGCGATAAATTGCAGTTTAATCTTTGAATATTCTTTTTGCCTTAATATCTTACAGTCAAACTTGGGCAATACTTTTTATAGGGAAGTGCTTTAATCTGATAAATATGATTTACATATGATATATAAATAAGTGCGACCAAAAAAAACGCGCATTTTCTCAGAAAAATTATTCTCAAGATTGATTCAAACTTTAAAACTGGGTTCAATAGTCAAAATAGAGCTAATTTTTCCTAGAAAAAGTAATACTAATATTTCATAATTCAAAAAGAACTCAATATATTCAAGAATTTAACATCCAATTAGAATTCCAATTGGAATTTGGCTACACTTTCAGTTTCTTATAGAAATAAAACTCTGATATGGCACCTACTGCTCGGGCGAGTTAATATTATAATTAACCTTGAGGAGGAGACAAAGGAGTCGTTGTTGTTGTTGTTGTTGTTGTTGTTGCTGCCACATGAGGCAAAGTTGCAGACTCGTCTTGATTTCCTCTCGATCTCTCGTCTCATGTTTCAATCCCAAACGCAGGCCACACTTTTTCCTCCTCTCTTCTACTTATTCTTCTTTATGCTCGTCTTCTTCTTGTTGATTTCTGCTGTGTCATCAGCTGCGATAAGGTCCAGCCTTTTATTTTGTAATCTGTTCTGTTTAGAAATACGATATATATCATTAACTGTTTGTTCAACCATTTGTTAAAACACAGTTTTATTTTGCAAGCGATTGCAACAAATGGACGCAACTTTATGCAACTTCCTAGAGACGGGGGGAGGGGGGCAGGGGTACGGGCGGCTGCCGGCACAGCGTGCGCCAAGTCACGTCTTCGCCGCGTTGTACCAAATATTTTTGTTGACAAACGCAAATGTATTGTAAATAGAATTGATTATGATTTCCATTTTATACCATATACCCTGGAAATTTCTATGCCGGAAATGAGCATATTCCATCGAATAGCCGCTAGGCAAATTCTCCGTGTACCTCAAATACTTAAAAGACCAGAGGAACCGTAGATCCCGGACATTTACATGCACTAATCTGAAACATACTCAGGTGTTGCACACCCTCCCCTACCTTAACCAATATTCTGGCACACGAATTGCCTTGATTTTTCGTACAAATAAACTAGATATATTAATACTGCAGCACTGAAAGTTTCATAACAATCGGACAATAAACAACGAAGTTATAGAAGAATACATTTTCCATAGTCTCTCGCGTCGATGCAAAAGCAGAGTATCTGCCAGTCGACTAGCGCTCGCCAGTTGCGTCTGATATATGTATTTACTTTTGCTTGATTTAATTTGCTTTAATAATTGAAAATATTCCAACGTTTTGGCATGTTTTGGCGTATCTTCTGGATGTGTGCAATATCTTTGCGTCTGCTTTGCTCTGGCTCTTCTTTCTTCCGTTATTTTTTGTTTTTTTTTTTTTCTTGGCCCATGCAGCACTTCCTTCTCTCATGAGTCACACATCTTTTGGTTTTGCTCTCCGCTTCGCATTGATTTCGTTTAATTAAATTGCATTTAACTTTGATTTGCATTTCACTTTGACCTTTTCCCTTTTGGTCTTTATCTTCGTTGCTGATGTCGCAGTCGCTGCCGCAGTCTCGGTCGCTGCCTCTGCCTCTGCCTCTGCTATCATCATCAATATTGATTACCGGCAGCTGTCTTCTTCGTCTTCTGCGGAGAGAGGCAGAGAGAGAGAGAGAGCGCGCCAGTGAGAGCGCGCGCCGACAATGCGCTGCCACACTCAGCACTGCGCTCTGCTGCTCTCTTCTGCTGCGCTCCCTCTACCGCTACTCCCTCCACCTCTCTTGCGCTCACTCGTTCGTTTAGCTCGCTCGCTTTGGCAATTTGCACTGTTTGTTTGGCATGTTGGCAACCCCCCCCCCCCCCGGTCCCCTCCGCCTCAGCCCTGGCCCATCGCACTCGTAGGCGCCCACGTTGCTCGCTGTCTTACGCGTGTCTGGCTGTGTGCCTGTGTGTGTGTGTGTGTGTGCCTGTAGGCAGGAGGCCAACAGGCTGCCCCCCTCTCTTTCTTGGGCTCTCGCTCTCTCGACTCTAAGGCAAAATTGTTGCAATTTGTTTAACGCGCATTCGCTCGCTCGCTCTCTCTCGCTCTTGCTCTCTCTCTTACCATATGTAAGTTTTCTGCACTCTCTCCCTATCTTGCGTACCTCTTCCCCCCTCCCGCGCCGCTGGCTAGCCCTCTTTCGGTCTTCTTTGCGCTGCGCTATCTGTTCTGTAGTTGTTCTTCATTATATTTTTTGCTTCATCGATTTTATACTTTGTCGTTGCAATTAGTTCTTCTCTCTCTCTCTCTCTCTCCATCGCTCTTCTTCTCATCTTCTGTTGCTGCGCTCTGCGCTTGTTATTGTTGTTGTGGTTCTTTTTGTTGTTCCGTTTATTGTTTGTCGCCTCTGTTGAGGCAGGCGTCGGACCAGCCAGGCGGCCCCCCTTCAAGGCAAATTGTATCTGTTGGATACATTCGCAGCGAGTGCAATTCTTGCACCTAGCCATCAGCTACTTTGAGCTACAGAGACATAAATTACAGTTAGCCCAGCTTACGTGCGCTAATAGAAATCTAAATGGGCCTCCAGGTAATCACAATGTGGGCAAATGTAATAAAAGTCGCTCGATTAATTAATGCGTTCAGCTGGGAAATCATTTGAAAAACATGACTTACAAAACACTGAACACCCCTAATGCAATTGGATATAGCTTTGATATCCGATAAAATAGGAAAATAAATAATTTGAACAACAATAGGAAATGGCGATTCTTTATAAAAATACCATTTGATATCAAAGCTCTGATTTTTTTTTATTTTACTAAGCTCTCGAAGTTTCATTAATAATTTCGGATAATTTATTCACACGAAATACCTTTAACATATTTTTCGTTTCCATATAGAACAGCTGATGATATGTTAAACTTGTCTCTTCGAATTCTCAACTAATTCAAGCACAAAGACATTCCAGATTCCGAAACTCTGTAAAACGTGTTCTCAAATGCGCAAACTAATTGACGTTAGATTCTGTTGCCAAATTAAGTCACCTGTGCTGAAAGACAAGGCCAATAGAGCTCTACCTGACCAGTGTTGACCTATAACAGATTATTTATTTTTTTCCAACTTAGCTTCATTGTTTTTGTTTTGCTGGGTATTAAAAAGTTTTGTGTGTCGTTTGTTTCACGTCAAATAATGGTTGGCCCCAAGGTCTTGACTTTGCCTTCGGGCTGGGGGCACACGCAAAAGTTCAAAACGTCAAACACACGCGCCCGCACACACTCACACACACATACACACGCACACCCGCTTATGACAGTTAAACAGTACACGAAATTTATGAATGATCGCCAGAGCTTACGGCTATTAACAAACACAAATACACGCATCCGTTCATTTACGCATTTATTTTGTGTTCTTTTTTGCAAATTTTTACCATGAATCCACGGTAACGTGTGAAAAGGGTATGATGGTTTTTTTGTATAGGCATGCAACAGGCAGCAGGAAACCAGAAAGTATACATATTCTTAATCAGGGCGAAGAGCTGAGACGATCTAGTCAGGTCCGTGTCTGTCTGGTTAAACGCATCCCGAAAAATATAAAAGCTAAAGACAATATTTGAAATATATATCATATATACGCGCACAATGGGCTTTATTTCGTAGCTGCTTATCTGATAATATTGAAAAACAAATCTATTTTCTGGCTGAATTTCTTATGCATAACTCGAGAATTATAGGAGCTAGATGCACAAAACTTGGTATGTGGCACCTCATATAGAACATAAACATGAAAAATTATTACCTTTTTTGATACTTCTCCCTAAAAGTGAACAGAACTCATTATCAGGTACTTTTGCAGCTTTATGCCTCAAATATTTCACAAAGATCGGACTATAAGGGCCGAGGCATTGCCTATTAGAATATTCTTTCTTGCCTCAACTTTTAAATATTAAATAATAATAAGTGTAGAATTGGAAAGATTGAAAAGAATCTCATATAAATAATTATTTAATCAGAAACTGAGAAATATCGAGCACAATTTTTTTATAATTAAAACTAGGGTATGTTCACGTCGACTATGCAAGTTTAAGGCAATTTTCACTGGCTTTTAATGTTGATTTTGGCATCGTCAATTGCGCGTTTATTTCCGTAAACAAAATCAATTAAATAATGGAAAACAAAACCAAAATTTGAAAGATAAAAATGCCGAAAAAAAAGCAAATATTTAAAATATTAAAACTGTGGCACAAAGAAAGCAACAACAACTTGGCCAACAAAAATGTAAGCGAAAAATACGCCAAAGGAAACCCGTCTAATGTGCCACTTAACTAATTCAACAAAACTGCGACGTAAAACGGAAATAATGAAATCAATAAAAAATATAAATAAAAATAAAGAAAAACTCAAAATCTTCTTCATCATCATCATCGTCATCATCCGCTAGCTAATGATGATCAATGAAATACTTAAGCCACAGTGGAACTACGCAGTTAAGAAATCTTAATAGATACAGCTAGAGGCAGCTAAAGCTACAGCTGGAATCAGGCTAAAGACCAAGATTTAATATGATAAATAGATTCATAAAGAAAGTACAATCAAGCTCAAGATTTAATATGATAAATAAATAAATTGATTGATAAAGAAAGTACAATAACATGAAATCAAGCTCAAGATATAATATGATAAATAGAAAAAGTACAATATCTTGATAACTAATATGATTGGGCTACAAAAACAAGATTATTCCAGATAATACAAAGATAAAATCTAGCTATATGATAAATAGATTGATAAAGAAAGTACAATAACATGACATCAAGCCCAAAAATTTATATCGTAGAAAGAATGATATAGAAAGTACAATGGCCAAAAAGAACACTATTCCAGATTATATAAGAACGTATTCTAAACATCTTAATATAGATAGCTTGATAAGGGAAAGTACAATAACATGAAATCAAGCCCAAAATTTAATAGACCTAATGGATAGGCATAGAAGGTACAAGAACAAGAAATATTTAATGATTTATAAGAACTTAAAGGAACAACATTATTCGAGATTATACAAACATGTATTCCATATATCCTAACCAAGATATATGATAAATAAAGTACAATAACATGAAATTAAGCTCAAGAATTTAATATGATATACGTCTCGAGCTTAAACGCATAATATTATTTTCAGATATTCCATGCAAAAGTATATTTCATATATCTTAAGTAACTCGTCTACTTTTCGAATACTTTTGCTTAACCTTGCATCAAGTTTCTTCATGTTGACCCTGAAATTTTATGGAGACGCATTGCCAGACGCATTGCCACAAATTTTATATTCATCCTAATTAAATTCTCTCTATTTTTGGCTAGCTTAATAAATTTGCAAAAACATATGAAAGCATTTATATATTTTATAACAATTAGATCGTATATTTCTGGTATTCTTTAACAGTTTCTTTTCTTTAAAGAGCAACGAAATATAATACTTTGAGCTAGGTTCTTAAAGAGCTCTATACGAACATTAGATCTTATTGTTCTTCAATTTTATTTCTGCAGTTTGTTATTTCATCGGGTTTTTATAATAAAGAACATTACTTGAGGTTTGTACTTGGGGTTAAAAGTTCTTCAAAAGTTCAACAAAGAACGTGAAATAGATTTTAGAACGAACTGTATTTCAAATCCAGCTGTTATTTCATCAGATATTGCTAATGCAGAAAACGGATAAAAAACTATTTCTTCAGGGTTAAAAGTTCTCGGAACAGTTACAAGCGGACATTAGATCATAATGTTATGTCTAGATGACTTGGGAAAAAAACTATAAAAAGTTTTATAAACGTTTTTTTCCATTTGACTTGTATTATTTATATTAAAATCACAAATTGTATCAACCTGTGCACTTCCTGGCGCATTTCCTTTAAATACGTGTATGTCATTTCTTTTAAACAAATGGCGCCCAACGCGTGCCTGGCAATTAATTATGTAAACGAATAAAACGAATTGTGTATTAAATTCGCTTGTGATGTTAACGCTTGAGGTGTATTAAATTCGCGTCTAACTCAATTGATAAACAAAACTAATTCAATATTAATATTTACTTATTTTTTTTTCTCCCCCGCCTCTCTCTTCCCTTCTCTGTCTCTTCCGCAGGAATTAAATTTCTACAGCTTACTGCATTGCTAGTAAACGGGGCACAAAGAAATTGTTTAATAATTCCGCGATAAACAACATGAAAATGTAAACAAAACAAATGGAAATATTTTGTGTGAAAAGTGCAACAACAACAAAGTTTTTAATTTCAAGCAAAAGTCAAATTAAAATTCTTAGTTAAAGTAAATATATAAAAATACAACAAAAAAAAAAAAAAAACGTAGTTAAAAGTAAATTATATAAAAAAAAGCGTAAAAAATAAATTTAAGTGAATTATAAAATTAACAACAACAGCTGTGCTGTGCTGTGTGTGTGTGCGTGCGTGTGTGTGTATGTGCATGTGTGTGTGTGAGAGAGAATTGAAACGCCCGCTAACCAAAGTCAAGCGCTAGATGGCGCTGCTGTCCGCGCGGGCGGCTTATGTAGTTATTGCGCGCGTTGTTGTTGCTAATAAAACGCGCAAAAGCAAATTATAGCTGCGACCAGCAGCAGCAGCAGCAGCAGCAACAAATAAATTTAAATTTATTACTTAGCATAACAAAATCAACAACAGCAACAACAGCAACAGCAACAATCGCAGCAACAACAACAACAACTGTTTAGTTTCGCGAACGCGTCTCTCTGTTTTCGGTTGTCGTCGTCGTCGTCGTCGTCGCAATTCGTCAGTCAGTTGGTTGCACCTGTAACGCAACGGTCGCTATGTATCGTCGTCGTCGTTTGGCAGCCGCTAGTTTCATCTTCGAAGTGGGCAAATCGTTTGCCAGCACGGCAGCAGCAACAATTGCCGCCAAGCAACAGCAGCAACAGCAGCAGCAACATAAACGGTTCAACGGCAACTAGTTGCAGCAGAGACTTAAATAAGCAAAGACCACGAACAAGAAACTTGAACCCCTCGCTCCTTAAAAAAATACCAAATAAATACTAGAACTTTTTTTTTCATTTGTCAAATAATCCAAAAGTATTGTCAGCAAAACTGGATTATTTGCTGAAAACTTTACGCACGCTGAAATCCAATTCGATTATGGCCGAGAATCAAAGCGCTGCCAACGAAGATTCCGGTCAGCAACAGCAGCAACATCATCATCAACACCAGCAACAGCAACAGCAACAGCAGCAACAAGTCAGCACAGCGGCAGCAACAATTGCTAATAGCGGTCAGGCCAGCGGCAGCAACTCGGCCGCCTCCTCGCCCGAAAGTTCACAGGAAACGCACACAATTGTTGCCAACACAACAGCAACAGCTGCCGCAGCAGCAGCAGCCGGCAACAACACAACGGCAACAGCAGCAACACGCCGGCAACAGTCCAGCAACACACAACAGCAACAACATCAGCAGCAGCAGCAGCAGCAGCAACGCGCCGGCAGCAACAACATGTTTGATCGTCATCTGAATGCCAAGTTCAAGCCCACGGGCGGTTCAGCTGGCGCTGGCAATGCGCCCGCTCGCCGCAATTCCATACAGACGCCGGCGCGCGGCGTCAGCGTGGTGGGTGGCACCACCAGCATCAAGAAGCCGCCGCTGACCAAGGTCAATTCGCTCGGCGGCAGCGGGCAGCATCATCATCATCATCATCATGTCGCCACTCACCAGCAGCATCATCATCAGCAGAACAGCAGCAGCAACAACAGCAGCAGCAACAATATACAGCGCACCACCAGCGAGAGCTTGCGCCTGAATGCGCTGAATCGCGGCGCTGCGGCAGCAGCAACTGTTGTTGCCGATGCCAGCGCCACAGTCTCGCGCGCCAGCAGCAACAGCAGCCTGGCAACGGCCTCGAGCGCCTCGCTTGCGCCCAAATCGAGCAGCACCAATCACACTGCCACGCCAGCAACCAACACCAACACCAACAGCAGCAGCAGCAGCGATGCCGGCAGCGGCAAGGCCAGCTCGCCCAACAACAATGGGCGCGGCCTGGGCCTGCAGCAGCAGCAGCAATGGCAGCAACAGCAGCAGCAGCAGCAGCAGCAGCAACATCATGGGCATCATCATCATCATCAGCATCATCATCATCAGCACCACACGAGCCATAGCCAGGGGCATCCGTCGGCAACGACAGCAACAATTGCCGCCGCAGCAGGTGCTGCTGCTGCCTCTGCTGGCGGCGGCGGCGGCGGTGGAGGCAACAATCGCAAACCAAAGACGACTTCCTCATTTCAAATCACCTCCGTGACGGTGGGCCATGCTAAGCTGAATGCGGCAGGCGATACGGGCGATGAGTCCGCCGATGATCTGGACGAATCTCATACGGATGACAATAGTCGGATTACGGATCTGGAGAACGAAACGCCGTCCATGTCGGAGGACACGTTCTCCAAGGAGGAGGTGTTCTTTGCCAACAATGCGCTGAGCACCACCGCGCCCGTCATACCCACCAGTTCACAGTACGGTCTCGTTGTGGTGGATCCCATCGGCTCGCCCTCTCTCGGCCAGACCATACAGAACGTGCAGGTGAATGTCTCCGACAATATTATAAATGTGGTGAGTGCGGCTGTGACGCCTGGCGGCACCAAGAAAAAGGACGACATGAAGGAGACGCAGCATCGCAGCGAACGCTTCAAGGTGGTCAAAATTGAGTCGACGGAGCCGTTCAAACGCGGACGCTGGATGTGCATGGACTATCTGGATCACTCCAGTGTCGGTGCTGCCAACAATAATGAAAAGACTGGTAACTCCGAGGCGGCAACTGTTGCTGGCGGCGGCGGCAACAATATGGGCGAGGGATGCGATTCCACGGCGCCGCCAAAGACAACGCAGAGCATGATCCTGCCGCCGAGCATGCTGCACGAGAATCATCTGGAGGCCGCTTCGGCCGATGCCAATTGGAATTTTGCCGATCAGCAGCAAACGCAGCCGTCGCAGCAGCAACAGTTGCAGGCGGGCGTCGCCGCAGCAGCAGCAGCAGCAGCAGCAACTGCAGCTGGCCAACTAACGGCCACGCCCAGCGGCGTTATGACCGCCCCCGCGACCGTGGTGCACGGCATGCAACAATTTGTGAACGCGGCCAACAGCGATGCACAGCAACAACAGCAGCAGCAGCAGCAGCAGCAGCAACAACTTTATGACAGCGTCAATGCCAACGCGGGCACGCCCAATGCCAATGCGGAGGGCATGCCCCATGGGCAGACGCTGCCCATGGACTATGCCACGGCCGCGGCGCAGCAGCTGCAACAGTCGCTGCAGCAGCTGAAGCAGCAGGAGCAGGCAGCCGCCGCTGCGGCAGCAATGGATGTTGCCACCAGCGCTGGCTACAGCAACAGCAGCAACAATAATAACAACAACAACAACAACAGCACGACAGCAACAGTTGCTGTCAGCGAGCCGCAGCTGAGCAGCAGCAGCTATGTGGATCAACCCTTGTCGCCGGCCGCCCAAACGCCACAATCGGCGCCGACATTTGCAGCTGTTGCTGCCGGGCAGCAGCCGGCGCCGCCGACGACCAACTTCCAGCTGGAGGCAACATCGCAAATCGATGGCATTGCGCCGGCAACTGCAGCATTTCCAGCCGCAGCTGCAGCAGCAGCAGCAACACAGACTTCAAACACTTCCACTAGCACAGCAGCAACAGTTGCTGGCACAGCAGCAGCAACAGCAGTTGTCACAGCAGCAGCAGCAGCAGCAGCTGCTGTTGGTCAGACTCAGGGGCAAACTTTGCCATTGCTGTCGCACATGAACAGCTACGAGCCGCCAACTGTTGCCGCCGCCGCAGCAGCAGCAGCAGCAATGCCCGCGCTGCAGCTGCAAAGCGCGCCAGCAACAATTGCCGATGTGCAGCAATTGGTCGTCGCTGGCGTGCTGGACGAACAGCAGCAGCAGCAACAAGCAGCCGCAGCAGCTGCAACACAGACTCAACAGCAACAATTACCGCCAACAAATATCGCGAGTGTTAGTGCCAATAACAACAACAACAATGTGAACTTAACGAATGCAACTGCAACAGCAATAACAACAACAACAGCAACAACAGCAGCTACAGCTGCAACAGCAACAGCAGCGGAAGCAACGACAACATCGCTCGGCTTGAGCGATGAACAGCAACAATCGACATCGGCAGCAGCAGCAGCAGCAGCAGCAGCAACTGTTGCTGCCACAGCAGCAGCAGCAGCAGGAGCAACAACAACCGCAGGAGCAGCAGCAGCAACATCATCGACAACAACACAGCAACAAATACAACAGCTACAGCAGCAACCAAATGCAGAATCGGAGACTGAAAGGTGAGTCCAAATAACAAGATTTTATATATATATTCGATATTAAAGTATTTTTTAAAGATGGGATTAATTTGAGGCTCAAGTAGAGTTCAGAGTTTCTCAATCCAGAAATTGGAGTTGAGAATAGTTTTAACTTGTCTTCTAAAGTTTTTGTGTGCATTGAATAATTTCTCTAGACAATTCTGATGAGTATCAGAAAGAGAGATTGAAAAGAGAGCAAACACTTTTTATAAGAAAATGTAAATACCATTCCAAAATTTGCCCTTCCGATTCTTCTTTCAAAGATGTTTTAGCTTAATTCGAACTTTTTTACACCACAGTCATTTAATTGAGTTTAAATTGATTTTCCTTCCGAAACACATTTCATTTACAATCTCTGACTACGGAAAAGAAATGCATCAATTTTCGCTTCCCTCAAGTGAAATCATGTGCTTTAAATAAACTGCATGATAGATCGATTTGTAACCAAAATTCAACATGACTCATGAGATGCGTAACATGGGCAAAAGATAACTTAAGCAGCATGCGAATTCATAAGAAACTCAGTTTTTGATAAGATAAAAGATTAAGACTTCATGAATGGGAATTAATCAAGAAATTTTGGTTATTCATTACAAAATGATGAAAGCATCTGTTCTTGAAGAGTTCGATAGATGAATCAATAGATTTTTCATATTAAGATATATATCGAAAATATAAAATGTATATTAATTTGATTAGAGATAAATCTTAAATAACTTAAAGTATCGTAAGGGAAATATGTCGATAGGGCTTTTTCTTTATTTATTTTAGAAGAATAGATAAAATTTGCTTGCAAGACAAAAAGTGCATAAAATTTCAATGAATATGCAGAAATATAAATCAAAGTGCATTAAAATATATAGCACATTGAGTAGGCTAATCGATAAATAATCGATAATTATATCGAACTACTGAAAATATCGAAATATTTCCATCGATAGGTATATCGATATATCGAAATATAAACAAATTTCAATTTAGATATATAGCTCAGGTAATCGATAATTAATCGATAATTATATTGAACAAAAGTTAGTAATAAAATTCACTTAGAAATACAAAAATAATGCAACTCGTCAAACAGAAGATCAAAATATATATATATTTAATATAATTACGACTTAGTTTCTATTACAAACGTGTATTCCACATATATAAGATTATAGTTGTTGATTATCGACAACAACAACAACAAAGGCATCTTCTAGTTCATTCAACAACTTTCCGTCCATTCACAAAATTGCCTTCATTCACAATTTTGTAGCTCTCGAGCTCGAGCTTTGTTTTGTCTAAGGCCAACTCAGCTGATACCGCTCGTAGGTTCCGCCTTATCGGCGACTATTTGAGCTGGCCAAACATTTGCTTGGGCCGCAAACACTTTACTTTTCTTTTTTGTTCTTTATAATCAATTAGGCTGGGCCCGAACTATTAATAGTGCCCCCGGCTAGAGCTCAGATTTGTGGACATATCTAATTTTCTTTTTGGTTCTTTTTTTTTTTCGGACTATTTTTGGACAAAATTGTTTGAACAAGTTTCGGTTTTGTCGTTGATAAATAATTTCTTATATAGACTAAGTGAGCCCTCCCTTCCTCCTTCCCAAAACTATTCAGATTTGCTTAATTCTGGGTGCGGCTGGAGGGTTGGTTGGCCAAGGGGGCGGGGGAGGGGCAGCTCTCCAGCAAAGTGCGAACACGCGCCACATTTTTTGGTGTCCCCATTTCATGTTTTGCCCCGCACCAATTGTGTGCCAAATTTTTGCGCTTTCTTGTGTGTGAGTGTGTGTTAGTGTGTGTGTGTGTGTGTGTGTGTTTGTTACTTATTCTTCTTCTCTTTCTTTTCTTTCCTCTTCTTGGCATTCTCTTGGTGCGTTCGTTGACTTGCAACATGCCCAAAGGGGGCAACCAGAGGCGCATGCCTCATTATAATAATTTATTTAATAAAAATTCATCAATGAAATTAGCTGAGAAATGTTCGTGTGTGGGCGGACTAGCTAGCCAGGGGGAGGGGGGCAGGGGTGGGGAGGTGTGGTCCACCCGTTCCACACAACAACGAACAGGGGCGTGACACAAAAGGTCGCTCCAATTAAGCGCACAAATTTTGCTCAATTGTCCGCGCGAGAGCTCTGCACTCGAAAGCTGAACTTACGTATACTTATGCATGCCTGTTGCGAACTAGTTCCGAAATAAACTAGCTCAATAGTCATTTAAAAGCAGGTTCATGTTTGTAATTATATTTGCTTAAAACGCGAAGTACACTAAATTGGTTCATCAATTAAAATAACGTGAATTAGGTCAAAAGCAGAGGTAGTCTTCTTTATCAAAGAACTAGCTCAAAAGGAGTTATTCATAAGGTTCTCTGAATTGGTTCATTGATTAATAAAAATAACTAGTTTATACTTTATGCAAACGAAGCTTCATGAATTGGCTTAAAGAAGGCTGATTGAATATTGAGATATTTAAACTAGTTCAGAGCTGAATATGAACTAGTTCCATATGGGCTTAAAAGTTGTGAAGCAGTTTTTGAACCAGCTCGAAAATGAATAAAAATCACTTTTATATTAAATTCGTTCCAAATTTGTTTTGTGAACTCTAGATATGAGCATAATGGAACTGGTTCCAAAAACTTGATTTCTAAATGAGCTAAATATATGACTTAACATTTTTATGCTGATTTAATTAACGAAGAGGAATGTTGTATAGCTTTTTTATAGGGTATTTAATATGCACAAACGTTGCGAAAGTAATTTAAAATTTCTGCTCATGGTTTTAGTTTATTGTTGTTGTTTTTGCTGCTGCTGTTGTTGTTGTTGTTGGCGACAGTTGTGTCATGAGCCTGGCTGGCCAAACAGTTAAGCGATGACTAATTTGTTGTGCGTGTGTGTGTGTGTGTGTGTGTGATGACTCATTGCTGTTGTGTTAGTGTCTGATAAATTGATTGATCAACTGCAAATGGGAAAAGCAGTTTTGAGCAAATGCCAAGTTTATTATGCAGAGAGACAAAGTCAAGGCCTCCAGATTATAGGCAGATTATATATACATATATCTGTGTATATATATATATATATATATATATATATCTACGATATGTGGCAGGCAGTCGTGAGTCGTGGCTCGAGTGGCACGTCAAAGCCGCAAATGCAGCTGGAAAATGTAAATGCAAAGCGGCTGGCAAATTACTTTGAATTATGTGGCTGGGTATTAAAAATAACCGCAGCCAAAGACAGCAGCAAAAGCAGACGCCCTACCCGACCACGCGGCGTATGAGTAATGCGGCAAGTTGTCTGTCTGCCCCCCTCTCTCTCTCTCTCTCTCACTCACTCACTCACTCACTCTCTCGCTGTCTCAGCTCCTCTGTCCGGCTTAGCAACAGCTTTTGCCTTGTTCAACAACAGCTGCAAAGTGCGAGGAAACAATTTAAAGGGTTCTCTAGAGTCGACTGCCAGATACCCTGTAAACAGATTTTCAATCCAAGCAAGAGAAAGGTAGTTTGAGTTTGAGCATCTAGATATAAAGATTTTATTCTTAAGAGATCATCTTTAGAGAGCTCCAGTTCTCTAAATCGTTTTATTTAACATTGATTAATATCAGATAGTTTTGAAGGGCATATTTGATATTCTTCCTAAATGTAATCGGAATATTAACCGAAAGATTCAGTACATGCCTGGATATACCCGATTTCAGAGCTCTAGCTCCAAGATCATGTGAAGCATGTTTCTTCCTAGACTTTAAATACATTTCCCTTTGACTGCAGCAAACGCTCTCCCAAGTCCACATATGCTCCACTCATATTCTATTTATACAGGGTATGCAAATGGTGTGCACTTGATAAACTTGGCTGTTATGTATTTTACATATTTTTTCCTGCTTTTCTGCTGGCTCGAAAAGTTTGCCTCCTCCAATGCGGACGGACAGACAATTTGTCCAAGTGCTGCCGACTCTGATTGATGCAATGTGGCAAGGGCGCACAAGTTGTTGCAAGTGCAAAGATGAGAGGCGATGAGGGGGCAAGGCGGAATGGGCAGGGTGAAGAGGTCGAGAGCTGAGCAAGTCGTGTGGCAGCAAGTGCAGTCGGTCCAGCCAAGTGGACACTGACTGCGTGACGGCTTTTTCTTGTGGTCAGTTGCGACTCGAGATCTTAACCTGGAACGGCAAGCACTTCCCCCCCCCCCGCCCCTACCCTTTAACCGACCACCTCTTTGACTGTCTAATGAAAACGAAAGTCTTTCTCAATGGCACTTGTTGTGGGAGAATGTTTACTTTATATAATAGCTAAGCACTCGCCAGATTCAGTTGAAGCTGGTTGCATTATTAAAGCGAACAATTGGATAACAAAATGGGTAAATTGATAGCCGCGTGTGGGTGGAAGGAAAATATTAAAGGGCGGGCGGGGCCAGAGAGAGGTGACTTTTCCAAGGAACTGGCTCGCATTTAACGCGATTCAACTTAATTAACTGTCTGGGCGCAATATAAAGTTACGCATAAAAGAAATTGAGCGAGTTCTAGATTTATTAAAGAGTTCATGTGAATATTAAAGAATCTATATATAAAATTTATATTGATTTAGCTATTTGCTGGAGAACTACTTGGAATTTCAAGCTGAATTATTTCTCTCTGGATATTGTTTCACCTTTTAAACAATTTCCAAACGATTCTTCACTAGGTTTGATTATTTTTTGAATTGAACTAGTTCTTCATTTGAATATGAAAGAATCTGTTCAGAGATGTTTCGGCTATTTGCTGGAGAACTAAATGAGTTTGCCAGTTGAATTATTTCTCTCTGGTTGCTAGTTTATCTTTTAAATAATTCCCAAGCGATTCTTCACTAAGCTTGATTATTTTTTGAAATGAACTAGTTCTTCATTTGAATATGAAAGAATCTGTTCAGAGATGTTTCGGCTATTTGCTGGAAAACTACTTGGAATTCCAAGCTAAATAATTTTTCTCTTGATGCTAGTTTATCTTTTAAATAATTCCCAAGCGATT